CCTCATCCAGGGCGTTGATAAAGGTATTAAATAGAACTGTCCCTGCTCGCTGCAGGGGAGTTGGACCAGGTGACCTTTAAAGGTCCCTCCCAACCCAGACTATTCTATGATTCTGTGATTATCAGCTGAGTTCACTTAATATTTAATTCAGTGAGAGTGACCCTAATTTCAAGTCCTCAGCCTCCCCATACAAGCCTGTTGATAAACATACTGAAGTGATGATGGCCTGATAGCGGGATGCAGATGTGTTTCCTGGGCCAAATCCCTCTTGACAAGCCTGTCATCCACAGTCAAACTCAGTTTCTTGTTCCACTAAGTCTCTTGAGTACTCTAGTGAGCTAAGCTTTTGTCTGCCCATTTATTCATCCCATCTTTGAATGCGAAGTCATACCTGCAGAAACTACAGCATCATTTGGATTTCTTGCTGTAGTAGTGGTGAGTAGTAAGCCGATTGGCAGTGTGATGTATTTAGGTGGCTCCCCATGGAAGGGAAAATAAAAAATTCTGCACATGTGAGGCAAAGGATCAGAAAGAAAGGGGAAGATTTAAAACAGGAAGAGGTGAAAAAATTAAAATTTAAAGCAGTAAAGGAAAAAGTGGAAATTCAAATGAGTGAATGAAAGTGTAAATGAGTTTTGGAAACAAAAGACAGAGTAAAAGCAAAAGGAAAAGAGCTAAAAACACCATTATGTAGAACTAAGACAAATGCTGAGATGTTAGCCTGACAGCTATACAGCGAGAACTGAGGGGTTTGGAGAGGCATGGGAGAAAACAGTGGAGAAGACTTCTGCCCTGCCCCCCATGGCTTTAGCAGAATGGTCTGGCTTCCTTTCTCAGAATAAGGAGATGTGGGTGTTAGTTTCTGTTTTCCTCCTGCTCTAACTGCTAAAAAACTCATAAATACACCTGTAATCCATCCTTCTGCCTTTTAAAGTTGTCTGTTCCCCTTATTTCTGAAGTATTCTGGTATTCTTCACCTTTAAAATATGCTCTAATGTTTTGTCTTGAGACTGTGCTTGCAGTAGGCTTGTGCAGATGTAGCTAACTCAGAGTGTCTGCATTCTCAGCTCTTAGTAACTTCATGTTCCTAGCAGCAATGTAGCATAACGTGCAAATACCTTTTGTCCTAACTTTCTCGGTGGTATAGTGGTAAAACTGACCTTTTGTTTTCTATCTACTTCTGCAAAACGGTTCAGAGATGGTTTGACTAATTCCTTCCTCTAGATAAAGTTTTTCTCAGAAATGTTTTAAATGCACACTGATGCCTTTTCCAAGCAGTTGAATCAATTAAAGAATATGACAAAAAGAATTTGTTTGAAAATGTTTGACTGTATGAAGAATGGGAGGTGAACCAGTATGCTGTGATACCTTGTTACAGGGGATTATTAGAAATATCTTTCAGTAGTAGAAATTGGTAGAATGCTCCTGCTGACAATGTTGATACATCCAAATTGTTGCTCTTAACTTGTGATGGTTTTGTGGAAGAGTAATGGGTCTTTCCTTTCTAAGAGCGACTGTTTGCTAATGTACCATTTCTGTGCAGCTCAGAAGAAAACAGCTCTGGGCTTCTCTATCTTTTCAGATTAACTAATTACAAGTTTAATGCTTTTAAGTGCAGAAGGGAGGCTGAATAGTCTTCTTTTGCTTCATGCAGCTCAGGTCCAAGTCTTGTCTGCTGCTCTCAGAGCTGCTCAGTTTGATTCTGTTGGTGACTGTGAGACCAAAAAAATGGAAGAAAGCAGCAGCAAAATTCAGAACAAAACTATTTCGGGCGGAATGGCTGTTTCAGATGCTACCTGCAACCAGGTGGAGGAAGACAGTCTTTCATCCCCTGCCTCCCTGGGTAACATCAGTGAGCAGCCTATCTCCAGTACACTGAAATGCACAGTAAGTATGCATTGTGCTCTGTGTCCGAAATGAATCCTTACCAGCTGGAGAACTGTGTGGGTTCATGGAGTCCCTGGCATAATTGACCCACTTCTGATCGAAAGCCTTTGAATGTTACTGCACTGTAACTGTCGTACGCTGCTTATTTTAATTAAAAAAGAAAAAGAAAAGCTATTGAGGGTATTATTTGTTTTTGCACATGAATTATGAGAGTTAGTTTTGCAGTAGTCTTGTAGGGCTTTCTTTTTTCAGATGGTATGTACCACGTACAGTCTCAGCTTTTCCTGTAGTGAAACTAAAATTAGTCTTATCTCCAGACAGGAGGTTGAATCAGGTGCTGACACAGTTCCTGGTTACTATTTCTTGTTTATACTGTAAAGATAGGAATAAAAAGAATTGTTTGCACAATATTTAATGTTGCTGGAGCTAATCATGAAATGTAAAGAAAAGTTTTCCTTGTCTGTGAACAAAAACTGCCCATAAAATCTGCACAAACAAAAATACTGTGTGCACTTTCAAACTTGGTGTGTTTTTGATCTTTTAAACTTTTTATTTCTTTTGAAGTTTTTTGTTAATATGTGGAGAGAGGTGTATGCTTCATAATTTGGTAGGCTTGGGAGTTCCCAGCTGTTTGTTCTAAAATAAGTAGAGCTTTTATTATGGTATTGACTGACTTGGAGCAACCACTAAGCTGTTTCATTTAATATAATCTAAATTCATGCCAAGAAGAAAAACTATTTAAGAGTATAGTAAAAGTAGACATCCAAAATCTGTATGAATGTTGGGTTTATTGTGTTAAATCAGATTGTTTTTTCTAGAAGTAAGTCTAACTGCTGTTCCCCTTGTTGCTGCTAAAGTCTTGGTAGTGTTTGTCTTAGTGTACAACTCTGTCTTTTCATACTTGTAGAAACCCTCTGAATAAGGCTTTGCCTGTAGGAGACTTTGTCTGTAAAAGGCTGCTCTGTGTCTGAGTTGCGTTGTTCTGTAGTGCGATGCTTTGAATTGCCCCAACCAGCAGTAAGTCTAATTCATTTCACTAGCTAGTACGTCCTTTTACAGGCCTCAGAGGAACAACATGGAGGAACCAGTGTGTTATTAAAGAAAGAGCAAGAAAATAATCCACCATTTGAAGATGACAAGTCGAAATTACAGGTGATTAAAATCACATCTAACTGCTTTAGTGGAGTATTGGATATGGTTCATCTCCTTAATGCAGTGATAGCTTTTGCCATTGATCAGTTGCAGGATGTGAAGAACTGCTATGGGCACGTGAGGGGAGCCCTGTTTTAAATTGGAAAGCTAGAAAAATTCTCTTGCCTTTTTGGTGCCTTGGGGGCAATCTGCAACCAAGGTAGGCACTGACAATATTGCTTTGTCACTAGATTTACTGCTTGTCTTCAGCAAAGAAGAAATTTCAGTTTGTTTTGATAAAGTAATAATTACTGTTCATTGCTGACTGCTCTATCCTAATGAGAGGACAGATAACCATAGGGGTCACTGACACTTTGTAAAGGTAGCCCACAAAAGGGACATTGTGCTACTGTTTGTGTTTAGCTGCCACATGGTTAGTAGCAAGTGAATACTGTAGCCCAACAGGTGTATTTTCTTAAAATAAAAGAACATGTGTGTTGCTGATGTACTGCCTCTGTCTACAGGATATCATACCTCAACCTTTATTAGACCAATACCTGTCAATGACTGACCCAGCTCGAGCCCAGACCGTTGACACTGAAATAGCCAAGCACTGTGCATATAGCCTTCCCGGGGTGGCCTTAACACTGGGCAGGCAGAACTGGCACTGCCTGAAAGACACATACGAGACGCTGGCCTCAGATGTACAGGTAAAAAGAAAAAAAAGTGTTTTAATGATAAATCAGAGTTTTGAGTAGCTTTTTTGTTCAGTTTGTTGCACTGAAGTTATAACATTATGTACTTTATTATAAGGGATTAAATGTGCGCTAAAAATAGAAAATTCAAGATTTAAATCAGACTTCATGAATAAGATTGACACTTTGTACTGCTGTGTAACTAGCCCTGTTGCTTCTGCTCTCTCAGTCCTCACACAGGCGTAGTTCAAAAGCTTCTTTTAGTTATGGTGCTTAATGTAGTTCACTTAAACTTTTTGCAGTGGAAGGTACGTCGCACACTGGCTTTCTCCATACATGAACTAGCAGTTATTCTGGGGGATCAGCTAACAGCCGCTGATCTGGTGCCAATTTTCAATGGATTCTTGAAAGATCTGGATGAAGTGCGTATTGGTGTCCTTAAACATCTGTATGACTTTCTGAAGGTAGGAAAGTGTAATTTAATTTCTCAAGATAAAATTTCTTCTCCAGTATTAGAGAGTTTTTTAATGAGATGTGCAATATCTAATTACACATTTAGTTCTGTGCAGTACTGCCATTTTGTATGTGCCATTTAAGATCCCTCGCTTCTGTCCCATATCCCAACAAAATATCAAAACTCTAAACCCTTTGTAAGTGTGTTTGTAAATGCTCCTAGTTGTTGTAAAGGAGTTAGTATTTTGTGCAGTCCAGCTGGAGAGTTGGACCATGAACAATTTGTGTTTGGGGCTGGGAAAGAAGAGAGCAAGCAGATCCTGGTGGGCTGCTACATAATGAAGACCACAAATCCTTAGTTTTTGGCTGCACAGTCTTATGCCCAGAGATGGTGCTTTGATGGATATCCTTGCAGAAGTGATGACTTAATGTACTTTTTTGGGTGTCAGCTGTGTGTGTCCAGGCACTCAGCTGATCGTGCACACTTTCTAGTAAGCATCTCGTGAATGATCACTTGCTTTCAAGTAGGAAAATGCACATGGGTGCAAATAGACTAATACACCAGAGAACTGCAAGTATTGAATTTTATCAGGTTTATACTAGTAATGTTTTTCCTTTAGTTACTTCATGCAGACAAAAGGCGAGAGTATCTTTACCAACTTCAAGAATTTGTGGTGACTGATAACAGCAGGAACTGGAGGTTTCGTTACGAGCTGGCAGAGTATGTAATTTTGTTAACTTCTGATTTTTAGTCCATATTACTGATTTGGAAACAGTATTTACATTCAGAAGTTAGCACACCCTAATTAGAAGCTAAAAAATGACAAACATCTTTATTAAGGAACTGAACTTAAAAGGCACTGGCTGTTGGGGTTTTGTTTGGTTTTGGTTTTTCAGGTTTTTGTTTTGTTTTGTGGGGTTTTTTGATGGTTTTGGTTTTTTGGCAAGTTGTGTTGTAGTCAAGCGTAACTGAAACTTAAGTCTCTGATTATACTGAAATGGAGATCTGGTTCGCTTGCAGCTTATGAAGTAGGACTGTCTGATAAATACTGTTCAGTGGGGTTTCAGATTTTATCCTGTTCTAGACTGCTTTGCAAAAATCTGTTAAATGTATGTACAAACCCATTTTTCTAATGGGTATGAAAAGAAAAAACAGTTCTTGAAAAAAAACAGTTTATTCATTTGTTATTTCCGTGTGACTGGGTGTATAATGGAGATAGGGTAACGTCCCACAATTCTCCTTCTACAAGCCCTGTTGATATTTGAAGCACCCAAAGAATGTTCGTAGGCATAGTTTGCAGCTAAAATCTGACCTTCGTCTTTATCTTGTTGCTTTGTTTGGGCTACTGAGGATTTACTCCTCCTTAGTAGTTTGGCACAACAAATTGAATCTCACTGCGGTGCAAGAACGTTGTACAGCAGTTCCCTGACACCTAGTGGAGAGCTGTCACTTTGTGGCTGGTTCGTGCATGGCTGATGGTAACACGCTGGCAGCAGTGTGGTGGAGTGAGTTCTGTGCAGTTCCAAGATGTAAACTATTTTCTGAAGTGTAAATTTCTACACAGAAGTGAATCTTCTGGTTTTTTACTTTGCAAGAAAGTACGGGATGTTGGTCTGAAGTTGCAAAGAAACTTCTCGTACTTCTGTTTGTAGCTTTTGTTACTGTTTGGGACAATTTTTGGTTCATTGGTACGTCTAGTTTGCATCAAAGCTTCTCTTGCATTCCTTGATGGATTAAAGCATGTACTTCTTTAATACATGTGTGGACCATTATAAAGTAAAGAGAAGAACAAACTGTTCAAGTGCTTTGTAATATCCATGGTATTTTCGAGGCTCCAAATGATCCTTCTCTGTGTTTACAGATGATATAATTAGAGCAGGTTAGTGTTGCACTTGCTGAAGTTAATCACTTTCTTTGTGTTTCAGGCAGCTGATCCTGATACTGGAACTCTACAATCCCAACGATGTCTATGACTACTTAAGACATATTGCACTAACTCTCTGCTCCGATAAAGTTTCAGAAGTTCGGTGGATCTCCTTCAAACTGGTAGGGGATTTAGTTCACTTCCTGGCAGGAGAGGAGGAAAATGATCCTTGAGAGGGACACCTGAAATCACTCTGTTTTCTTTCAGACAAGTAGGGTGAATACCTACTTGTATTGGTAAACAGTATGGAAAAAAGTGAAATTAAAACTTTATAAAATGTTTTGAGTTGTCAGACCTCCATAGATACTAAAATCTTTCTCTGTTGGTTGTATGTGAATGATAAATATATTTTCAACTGGATGAAAACAAGGATGTAGAAGATTTGGGAGACCTTCCCCCAGTTCTGGGAGGAAAAAATAAAATCACTGGTCTTTCCTCGAAGTTGACTTAATTTGTTATGAACTGCATGATAAAGCGATCGTCCCATAGGTTTACTGAATGAGTAGAAAGACTTCTTAATTCTCTTCTTTTTCTTCATGGTGCCTGGCAAGAGGTGTTATTTTAATGGTGGTCTTAATTTATTTTAGTGTGTTTTGTTTCCTCTGACCAAGCAGCTTTTTTAAAGCTTACACTTTCTTTTCTCCAGAATAAGCAAAGTGATTTATTAAATCCTGTGAGCATAGCTGATTACACTGAACACAGTTTTTGGTGTCCCTTTGTAAGATCCAAATGAAATGATGGATTTTTTTAACTTTCTAAGGGCTACAACCTACTCATATCTCCTGGGTTTTTTGCCCCTCCTTTTCCCCTTCCCCCTTCCCCCTTCCTTTGCTTCACAGGTTGTAGCGATACTACAGAAGTTCTACGCAAACAACGCAAATGCACTGGGATTAAATTTCATTAACGAACTTGTAGTGCGGTTTCGTCACTGCTCCAAGTGGGTTGGAAGACAAGCTTTTGCCTTCATTTGTCAGGTTAGAATGTTCTCTCTCTGTGTTTCTATGTGTACCTTTAATTTGGGGCTCTTCAGCAATGTGATCAAAACTGAAATTTGTACTCTGTTTTGTTGTCATCCTTTGGGCATTACGATTCTGTGAGTTGACCAAAGACAGTGGCAGAGTCGGTCTGGTCTTAGTACTGGCATATGGCTGTCCAGTTTTGAAGCTGTGCTGCTTGTTTTGTCTCCATCTGAAATGGCTGGTCCTTGTATTTTCTGGCATCCCGGTAGCAAAGTCAGGAATGAAGTCCTAAATGGAGATGACGTACTTTGACATGATAGGACAGAGGTTCACAAGAGCTCTTCAGACTACCACTGGGTGATGGATGCCAGGAGCTCATTTCCCTCTTTATTTCCACTTACCCACCCCCCTCCAAAACAAGAATGCTTATCTCGGTAGCAATGAGGAGCAAGGGTTGAATGTTGAAAGGCAAAAGGGTGATGACAGGCAAGAGAAAAATATTTCGTAAAATACAGTTGAAAGAAAGTGATTGGCTCTTGTTGGGTCATCTTCAGATGAACTTTAGAGTGGCAAGAGATGTTTTCATAACGGTGTTTGAAAGGCTGTACTTAATTCACCAACATAGGGTGTATTTGTTCAGACTTAAACACTGACTTTTTTCAATAGACAGGCCAAATTAAGGACAAGATGGAAAGGAATGGCAAGTATATTTTTAACATAAATCCTGCTTTCTTGTGTTCTGTGTTTATCCTGTAGGCCGTAGTAGAAGAAGAATGTATGCCTGTCGACCAATTTGTGGAACACTTACTCCCCAGTCTTTTAAGTCTTGCTTCAGATCCTGTGCCAAACGTCAGGGTTCTGCTCGCCAAGGCGCTAAGGCAGACGTTATTGGAGAAAGGTGTGGTCATCCATTTCCTTTGAAAGAACTCGCCTCTCACGAACGCTGTCTGCCCTCTGCCAGCGCGGTTCTCTGTAAATTGGCTCAACTGGTAAAAGGCTGAGTGGTTCTGTTTCTACCGAAAACAGAATTATACATTGCAGTCTGGGATACTGCATTCAAATTCAGATTTGGGAATGTAGATTCAGGAATGTATACTGCAGTGGCTTTTCTGTCTTAGAGTATTCGATCGTTGTCCCTAAAGGGCCTGAAACTGGTGTCAATAATGTGGCACTTGCCGTGTTTCATCCGCTGGAGGGCAGTGACGTCCTTCTTCAGAGCAAGAAGTACTGCAGTGGCTGGGTCTTGCTGCAGGTGGTTATTTTTGGTATCTGTGATGTGTATGGCAAATACATTTTTCTTAAACATCACAATAGATTATTTTGATATATTTCAGACTTTTATGTTAATGAAGTAGTTGTCCTTGGGGTCCTTCAGGTGAAGTGTTCTGCTTTTTTTCTGAAATTGTTTGCTTTGTCATTTTAGTCTTAAGCTAACAGTTGTACTAGGAAAGAATGTAATTTTGTGCTGCTACAATTTCCTGCGTTAAATTCCTTAAACAAAAAAACGAGCTGATCTCTGATTATTCAAAGGAAGGTGCACATAAATCTATCTTTTTTTCAGAATAAATTATGGAGAACGTTTTGTAAAGCATTGTGCAATGGCAGCTTCCTAAGCTTGCTTTACTTGTTGCTATATTGCTGTTTAGGTCTCAGCAAAAAGAGTTTCTCTCAGCAGTACTGAAGTACCTAATAAGATGAGTACAAACTAGCATATTTCTGTCGGCTTCCTTGGCTATATGTTGGATGAGCTTCCCCTGATGGTTTTGGCATCCTCTGTATTTCTGCACTACTTATGCCCCAGAGTTTATTCTTTTGGCTTTGATTAAAATTCTCTATTTCTCCCCTTATTCTAGCTTATTTTAAAAGTGTCGGCAATCCTCATCTAGAAGCTGCAGAAGAGACCATTCTAGCCCTGCAGTCTGACAGAGATCAAGATGTGTCCTTCTTTGCCACCATAAAACTAAAACAGAGTAACATGGACAGTACTACCATTGAAAAACAGAACTAACAGGTTACTCTGCAGTGAAACGCTGAACGTCAGAATGGTTATTACCTTATGTTTGTGGTTAGTATCAGTAATGTGGACAAATGAGAAGGTTTTTGTTGCCTACTTGAGCTGGAAAGGGTCTATTTAGAAATGTTATGATCTTCATTTCCTGACCATGTTTCCTCTGATACGCATGAGTAATTCCTTTTGGTTTTTTCTTTATAAATGTGGGTGATAACTCTGTTCTCTCCTGCAGTTAAGTATTGTACATAAAGTCTTACACCATACTCAGTGTTTCAGTGTAACTGAAATTCATGTTTCATTTTTTAAGAAAACATTTCCAGTAGTAGGCAGTCTGCTATAAGCTTAAAATGGTTTTTAAGTCTTAAAACCTGATTATAGCAAACTTCCATGAAGATACTCTTTTCTCACTTCTATTGTAGTTTTTTTATTGTTTCAAGTATTGTTTTTTAACTGAAAAAAGTGTGAGTAGTTTTGACTTTTTACAAAAAAAGATGACGAACTTAATTCTGTATCAGTGGGGGGAAAAAGCTCAAAAATCATTTCATTTTATAAAGTAGTTAGTCTGCTAGAATTAAGGCATGGTTCATTTTTACTTAATATAATGTGATATTTTTCAAAGCACAGAGAGCTCGAGATTCTTGTATATTGTGACTTTTCTATTAATTTGTTGTTTCTGAGCTATACGCTTACAGATGTTAACGTGTGTTTTTGTTACTGCTGGCTCTCATAGTCTAGGTAGCCTGTAAATTTTCCAAACTGAAAATGCCTCGCTCTGCCCCAGCAAAGTTCACTTCATTTAAGGGATTCAGCTCCTGCAACGTGCTGTATCTGTAGAAGGATATTACAGAATTTTACAGACTTAAGTTCTGTTCTGTTTTCATAGACACACCTCATTTAAAAAACACCTTTTAACTGGTCTAATGTTCAGATTGCGAACAGCCTTCTAAAGGACCTCTAAATTCTGAAAAACCCCAAATAACAAATGTTCAGGGGAAAGGTGGTGATGCAGTTTGCTCTATGACTTCAGTTGATTGTATGGTGAGGTTTGGGGCAAACAACAAATGAAGGTTATTGAGATCCTGAAGCTTAAGTAGGACGTCTTCTGTATATTTAAACAGGTGTTGCGGAAGAAAGAAAGAATATACTGGTAGAACAGAGTTCTTTTAATAAAATCGGATAGCTTCTGACCAGTTTGAAAATCTGCAGGTAATGTGGGGCTTGGAGAAAAAAATAGTCTTACTTTTTTAGATTGTGGATTGGAACTTTGTCCTGCTCAAAACCTAATGCTTAAATACTAAAGAACTGGTTTCATGTAATAACAGTTACTTTCCCTCTGTGGACACAATACTTTATCATAAACAGACCTATGTAAATATTACCCTGTGTTTCACTCCTATACTAGTAAGTAGTTCACATGGGTGAAGGTTTTTACAAAAAAAAATAATTTTCTTTTTTGTTTTGTTTAAAATCTGGCTTGTCTGCAATACGACAAATGGCTTCCCCAGCTGGGTTCTGTATTTTTGGAGGGCTCAGTTTTGTATAAGTTCGTTTAACTAGTCTTGTATTATAATATGTACAGTATTTGTAACAAATTGTTTTGTTGTGTGATCACAAAAAGCTTTTGGGAAGTTGCAGGCAGAAATATACCACTGCTAACACTGCTATTGCAGCAAACAGTATAAGCTCTGTAAATTCTGCAACATTCTACATTTAATTTTTTACGATTTTTTTATAATTTAAAACAAATGCTTCTTCAGTACAGACTTTTTATGATTGCAATTTCTTAACAAAAAGACCCCTCAAGTTAATTTTTTTCTAGTTCTAATGTCTTTTTCTAATGCTGGCATTATACTGGTATTTTCTAACAGGTCAAATTTTCTAAGGCCTTTCTGACAAGATTTTACTTCTGGTTTTTATTATCAGTTCGTTAAATTTCTCAGCACTGAACAAATTTTTTTAAGTGTGTGTATATGTAAGTATGTTTGAAATATACTGTATATAAATTAAATACTTTGAACATTAACCCAACCCAGGTTTTTGTTTGTCAGATAATCGTAAATAGTTACCTTTACTTGCAATAATCCACTGGAAAACACAAGCTTCCATATGTTTTAGCACGTTTGGTTAGTGTTCACTAAGAGTTTTTAATTAGAGTATGTGTAAACAGTAAGCCACCAGCTATAAAAGTTCACTAAAAGGCTAAACAAAGTTGTGTGGTTTTAACAATATTTTGGTACCTCTCTGGCTCCAGAAATCACGTCTGTTTTAAATGATACGATTTCAGTAGAGCCCTTAAAACCTTTTGTTAAAACTCTACAGTTGCATGCACTGATAGGGGACACCGTAGTTTTGGGGTGGGTTTTTTTGTAGACAGTGTGCGGGTCTATCGAACGGATTTACCCTCTACAAAGTTTGTCTTTTTGGTTTAGTTTTAACTACAGGTTATTTCAGCATGACTAAAGACCGCACTTTACGTCTTGTACTGGACAAATGTATGCAATGATGAGTAAAGCGGTATGTTCACGTGCAGTTGTCTGGGTTGTTTAAATTATGCAAAAATATGTATTTTAAAAGCCAGATGGAGTGAAGTTAGGTAGTTGATCCACTTCCACAGTAGCACTAAGAATATCACTTTAAACATTTCTAGCTAAGGAACATGAAAATAATATTAGTGGGTGCAATATTGCTTGGATGCTATAGGACAGGCACTTGTAATCCAAAGCATAGTGGTCGTGTTGCTGAGGATTCGGACTCGCTGGTATCTCACGTACGATCCACGCTTGGCATCGGTCAGGTTGCTGCCCTAGTGGCGGTTGTCTGTACAGTGTTGTTTAGAACAATTAAGTGGGGACACTCTGGAAGTGTCATTCGTTTGTCAGAATAGAGAATCTGTGCAACTTTCTATTTGTATTTATCTCAATAAATCCTGTGACTGTTTTATAAACCAACTTGTGGTGGCTGACTTTTGTCATAGGTGGGATGTGAGTGATTTCTTTTGGTTCCTGAAACATCTCCCTAGTGTAAACCCTGTCATCTGTCAAACCAGGACTGGGTGTGCAGTTCATCATATCGTGCAGTAAAAAATGTGTTAATGTCCTGAGATTTGAGCAGCTCTGCCTGCACTTTTCCTTGACATGAGCGTGCTAAAAGTGCTTCCACACAGTGTTCTGTCAGAACTGAAACTTGTAACAAGATGGATTTTAAATGAAGAGAACTTGTATTGGCTGGGTGAGACTGACATTCAGATCTTTATCTTAAATCCTTCCCTCCAGACTGCAGCCTGGAAGGACAATCTGGACTGGTTTTTTTCAGTGTGGTGTTGCTCCCAGACATCCTGTGTTACTGAACTCTGTAGTTGTTAGGCTTTGGAGTGTGGGGGGAAATGGACACCTGGCTGGCTCGTTTTGCTTCTAATTTAAAGAGTCTTCTCTGTCTTCTACTGCTGCAATCACCCTTTTGGCCATTTCATGCACTGGCTGCTCCATCCTGTGCTCTAGAACTTCTGCCAACTACTGCAGAAGAATATCTGACCTCTCTCTCTCCTCTGCAGGGTTTTAGCTGATGTAGTGAGGAGAATAAACACTCCCCACACCCCCTGGTAAAGCCTACCTACATGCTTTAATTTAGGGCACAAGACCCCTGTGTAGCAAACTGGGAACACAAATTTAACAGCCATATCATCTTTTCGTTACAGATTAGACTAAATGAGTAGATTGAGATGGAGACTTGAACAGAGAAAACAGGCACATAAAATAGAGGCAACTTTGGATATTTACCCGAGTTACTACTTTGTTTCTCTGCTGCTTGTCTTCCAAGTAAGTGTGTCATCCTAGTGAAAATCAAAGGGTGGGCAGGAACAAAAAATCTTCCTGTAATCGCTCTGGTGCGTTACTTTCTGTGGCGGTCTCTGGTAAGTTCATCACACGTGCAGAGTGTACCTCTGTGATGACAGTTATGCTGCTTGGGTACTGTGATGTGCTTCTGATACATAGGGGGAGCTACACTTGGAGGGCTTTGACACAAGGGCAGTGTCTAGGGGAGGGAGGAATCACTACCAGATCTAGGCCCCTGTCCTTAAAAGATTCCAAGCTTTTTTGAAGCAGAAAGTCTCACGAACTTTTCCTGGTCAGGAACCGCTTCATCACCATGCTTTCCCTGCCCCTGCAGACCTTTAGTGTCCAGCTCTGTCTGGCTGTAACTAATGAGATCTTTTCCCTGCCCCAATGCCAAAATGACTTGACTGTGAAGAAGCTTAAGTCCCATTTAGAATCGTTGACTGGGATCCTCCTTCACTTCCAGCAGCTTCAATACCTGGATGAAGGTGAGAACCTGTAACCTCTGGGATTCTTGGATATTGTATTTGGAAATCTCTTTACCTGCCACTTACGGCTATGTTTAGGTCCTGGATGAAGGTCAGGATTCTGCTTTCTTTTTCCTGTGCTGCACTTGGAATTCATCTCTTAACACTTTTGCTTCCTACTCCTTAAAGATAACGATCTACTCAACAGGGTCTTTTTAGGTTAGAGACTGCAAATGTTGGCCTCAATTCCTGCTCGGCCTTGTCAACAGCCAGTGCCAGTACCTGGCTGGTTCACCTCGGCCTAGAACAGCTCTAGCAAGGCTCTTGCTGACCTCTCTGCAGTTAGAATTATGTGGAGCAGTGGTTTTTTTCCCATTCCATCAGCTGAATGTGTGGTGTTGGAGTACTTGGCCTGGGAGGTAACAAGCAGAGAGAGCCCTTGGAACTTGTTTAAACCTGCTGTTTAAAACAAAGTACCTCTTGCTATTATTTGCTTTCTCAGGTCAAACAAACTTGGTGCTTTCGTTTTAGAATAAAGACACCGTGTGTGTATGGATACATGTGTGTTTCTCCTACGGTCTTGGTACTTAACGTGTTAACTGCAGCTTTCTGTGGGTTACAAGTGTGTATCCCAAGAGCACGATAGTGTTGCCTTTCCTAGGCTGAGAGCATAGCTGTGTTTTCATAGCTTTAGCAC